TTTTCACTAGTATTCAAACGGTATTCAAACTGTAGCTGCTCAATGCAACTTAACTTTGTTTAATTGTGTTTAACAGTTTGCAACAATTGATATCGTTATTGTTATACCAAGAAAATGTTACCATAATTTTGAAATAGTGTAATAACATTTCAAAGTATAACAAAACAGATGCTAAAAAATATGTTTGAAATATATTTTACCTTAATGTCGGCCATACTGCACTAAGCATATTACTGTATGGGGTATAATCTATATCTGATTGTTTCCATATATCATTTTCATCCAAGAAAATTTCTTTACCAATGTGCTTATTTTCTGTAAAGTCAAATGTTATGTTCATTCAAAGCTTTTGAACTTTACTGAAATATATAATCATCCTTCTAAAATATATTTTCTTTATTTTTAAGCAAGGCTTTTGTTTTGTTACCTTTAATACACAGTTTGGTAGTTTCTTTTCGATAGTTCAAAGGTAGAATGAAGAATGTAATAAGATAGCATTTTAAGAACAGCTTAAACATACACTAATAACTTTTTTTTTAAATACACGTACGTAGCTATATTTTATTTACCTGTTGATAAAGGTTCCCCAACGGCGTCTATAACTATTGACGGTCTGACTTGTTGCAGGTCACTACAGTCTCTAATTTCTGATGATTTTGTAGCTGACAACCCAGCTTTAGTATATCCTCGAATTATCAGAATCCAACATTTAGTGAATGTTATTTCTTCTTTGAGATCTATGCTAAAAGTAATCTGCATATGAAATAATAAATAATATTATCAACGGAAACTCCACCATTCAAAGAGGATTTATAACCGATAAATTCACAATTTTCAGTAAATATAATTTAACATACTTATTATACAACTATGTAAAAAGTGATATTTTGTCTCTAAAAGAAACCGGTTACCAAACGTATTTTGGAGAAAAAACTTTTTTGAATATGAAAACTTTATTGACTTAAGAGGATAACTCTAAATCTGCTATTCCATTAATTAACGAACTACTATCCAATGCACAGGCGTTGAAGTTATACATTTCAAAATTGTTGGCAAGTGTATGTTACATAAAATCCAGATGTGCTCAAAATATAACGTTAATACAAGTGACATATTGACACACATATATGCTTAACATGTCCTTCCAACAACATCGGGATGTCACACTTTCATTATCAACTTTATTTTATTGTTAACTTTAATATCTTACAGGTCATACTCTTTCAAATCAATTGCATTAATTTTTATACAACTTGAACACATGCGCAATAAATCTAATAAGGTACCACATCAATCATTTGTTTATATCAAATTTGAAAAGCCAACAGGTTCACTGACAGAGAAACGAACTGACGTATTTATTTTAACACATTTTGTTATGTGAAACAAAAAGCAGACCTAAGTAATCAAGCTGTAAATCCGTGTATAGTGCTTTTGTTTTCTTTTTGTAAAACCACTTATTCTAATTTAAATATTATACCATTTGTGATACATTTGCACAATACATACATGTTTGTACGTTCGTATTAATTGATTTAAATATCATAATATTATGCTTTACTTATTTCAAGACCATATCTTATGTAAACTGTGCATGTAAATATTTGTATTACATATATTTAATATGTGAATATTTACACACAGTTTTTCTACGGTAATATATATCAAAATATTTACTATAAATTTAAAATGGTAATTGACCAATAATTGATAATAAAAATGTTTAGAATAAATTTAAAAACTACCTTAATTATAAAAAAGACTGTTTTTTTAAAGAATTGAACATTACCGATACATTCATTACGATATTTATAGAAATACCCGCCAGACAGGTGGATTTTTGATCGTTTTTGCATATCAAAATATATATATTGAACACATTTAAGACAAAAGGTAAAGTTATTGTTTTTTACTTTGACCTAGGAACACACCATTGTACTTGGATGGGCATAATGTCACTTTAAAATTAATAAAACTGGAGAATATACTATGACCTAATCTGATTTAAACTGAAAAAGAGACAACAAGTCTGCAATCAATATAGTAATGGTCTCATTTCTAAATCTTTATATAAGAATTGTACAACAATATTCTGTATATAGTCTGTATGTCACTTATCACTTCTATATCCTATACTTACTTGATTATCATCTTTGGATGGTTTATATGATAGCCTTGTCCATTTTGTCAGTAGACGACCTAACACAGATTCATCTGCAAAGGTCCATTCATAATGATCCATGACTTCTTTGGAATTAGCAGGATCTTCAATATCTGAATCTCTGAATGGGTCCATACTGACTTCAATCTGACATATATTTTATTATATAGAGGATATTTGTTTGTTTGTGTGTAAGATGAAATTTTATTTCATCGAGTGGGCTTTAAAAACAGTATTCTCACGAGTGGCGTAGCATATCCATGAAAAGCATTAATTAAATTATGGAAATTTCGTTTTAACTTGTTTTTAAGCATAAAATAAAAAGAAAATTTGTTTGTTTGCTGGGAAAGATGAAATTTTATTTCATCGAGTGGGCTTTAAAAACAGTATTTTCACGAGTGGCGTAGCCACGAGTGAAAATACTGTTTTTAAATTTCACTATAACTATGGTTGAATTGGACCAGTATTGTTACTTTATTTTATAATTAATTTATTAATCATAACATCTTTTTTTAAGTAGATGGTTGTCAGAAATATATACAAGACAAATAAGATTAAAACATATGAAATACGTACTGATGTTGTATTTGCAGTATATAAAACTGACATATTCCCAGTAACTGGAGGATTTGGAACAACAGTAACACCGTCACTATGTACAGGTTTGAAACAGTATTGTCTTGCACAGAATTTCAATGATAGTCTATATGTTCGGCCAGGGGAGAGTGAAAATGCACTTTCTTCCATGTACGACGAACTTGCCTTCAATGGTTCATAGTCAGTATGGAGCCTCCATATATCTGAAACAGATACATTCATGTATATTATTAATTGAGCATGGCCGGACACATATTAACAGCAATGTAAGCACATTTCCTTTTTGATACTAGAAATATCTTAATAAATTTTCAATGTATTTATATATTTATTGTACCGTTCATTAAAAAATGTGTTAAACAGAAAATCCGTGGTTTGGACAGATTTCTAAAACTTAACAGTAATCATATTTTGAAATGCTCACCGTGAAATTATCAAAGTATATTGTCACTTAAGGCAAACTATATCAAAATACGAACAAAGAGATTATTTTATACACGAAAGAACATTTCATCAAAAATATTCCATCGTAAGACAAAATGCACATGTTTATTGGAAGCGAACATTTGTTCATTTTATTTTGAAATGTAACAAATTTGAGTGTTTAGGCACATTTTGTTTTAAAATAAATATTTGATGACATCAGAACGTTATGTGCAGAATATTACGAAACAAAAACCTGTATAAAGCAAATTTAATCAATTAAAACAACTGATAGAAAATTAAGATTGTTTTGCATGTAAGATCAAATTATTACAACATCATAAGCTATAACTGTAATTTTTCCCTACGCCACTGGTGATACTATTGCGTCTGTCAAAACGAATTGGTCTACAATGGGCGCATTTTCTATTAGTATTTCAAATATTAATAAAAACAATAAAATAATTTCATTGCTTGAAAAATATGTTTCTCAGTTCTTAGTAAAGTAATTTAGTATGATCATAAATATGATGAATAAAGATGTTTTGTTCAAGAACAATTTAGTTATCGGCTATATAAATATATGTGATCAAGTATCTCAAATTTGCCAACAGCAGCCATATACATGTTTTCGTGATTTGTTGTGACATGTAAGTCTGTTACTGATTACGATTAACGTAATTATTCATTGTATTTCAGATATTCCATTATACACCAATTCACTTTTAAGTTAAATGTATCGAATCATGCTGTAATACCAACAAATATCTTCTTTATAACAAATTAATTTGAAGCCAGCCCATTTACGCGGGTGATAAAAATCAATCATATAATTATGTTTGTTTACTAGCAACTGGAGCACGCTCCTCTATCGCCCAGTGTATGTCATGCAGGAAATGTTGTTTTTCTGTTGGTATTGTCCAATATGCTTGAAGAACATTTGTTGATGACTGGAATTCTTTATCCTCAGTACAAGGCAAACGTTTGTCCTGTTTTGAAAAAAAGATGAGGGATACGCTTTCTCTGTTTTAAATAACCATACAGTCCCAGTTCAGCTTCTTAATATATATCTTTTAACTTATTAAATGAGATATTGCAGGAGGAGATGTTTTTCTCTATTTTCATACAAAGCTACTTTTCGTTTCTACCAAACATCAATCAGTTGAAATTGATTTAAATCATTGTTATAGATATTATAGTTTACTTTAGCCAGCTTAACTGCATTGCTTTTCATCACTAAGTCCATGTAAACTTTTTGGCCTTTGTAAAAGGAATAGCAATTCTATCATTTTATATGGTAACCATACAAGTCATGTATAATATTCTGATTTATAAGTATGATATTTACCTCATCATGATGTGATGTAGTAAGGTTCAGATCTGAAAAAGGTTGATAAAAAAGATAACTGAACATTTTCATTTATCCAATGCATTTTATAAAATTGTAAAAATGAAAATATAATTGAACAAATACATGTATGTACTTGTAACAATTCATATTAATGACTTACAATTTTAATAAAAGCAAAATTTATTGTTGACGTAAAACCTTAAATAAAATGATGACTTAATACAAACCTCCTTCTAAAGAATCATTACATCGAGCACCATCAAATACTTTTAACCCATTTATTTCCCCACCTTCCTCAACAATTGTAATACCATCAGATACTGCTGTAGTATTTCCTGCTTCGGTTTCGGCTATAACAATTTGGAAATATGTCTGGAAACAATGTTTCAATAAATTTAAAGATGAATAAAAGAATAAAAAGTATACAATATATCTGTATTGACACAAATATTTGATATATCTCTAAGTATTATAGAATTATAAATAAGTATCTGACATGCAAGCGAGACAAACTTCATATCTAATTGCTTCAACATAGAAAATACCATTTCATATTGGATTTTAGCCTCTGCTTTGTTTAAATATAGTTTACCTGATATGGTTTTAGATTAAGACCATAAAAAGTATGTCTATTCCCAGAATCGATATTTGCACATGTTACGATGTCTTTGATAGTAGTGTTAGAAATACAAACAGTAAAGTTTATATCTTCATGTGGGTGCTCAAAGCCTGACCATCTCGCTGTTAATTTAGAGGTACTTGTCTGATAGTCTATGTCATCAATGTCAACAAACTAAAATAATACATAAAGAATAATAACTTTATATAAGAAAAAATATGCATAAATTGTAACTGAATAAATGGATATTTCATATACTAGTATATAAAAAAGTTGGAACATTAATAGTCAACTATCACGGCAAAGTGTTATATAAGCTACCGTTGGCATCTGGTACAATTACTCTAAACACAAATCGGCAAAAAAAGATAGAAATATATATTGGAATAATTTAGTAACATTTGCACTTAAATTTATACGATGGTAGTCAATGAAAATTCTCAAACATAACGATTTTATGACATTTAATGTCAAGCATGTAAACCTGCGTATTGTCCATATTTAAAAAAAATATGTTTATGTATATGAAACACGAAACATGTAAAATAAAAAAAAATTATAAAATAATAATAATAAAAACAAGAGCCCGGTTTGAGCCGGGTGATGCTCCCCGAATAGGTTTTGGACACAGGAAAGTACACCTCTTGTAGTTTCAGAGTTATGTCCCAGGAAAAAGTTCAAAGTGCAATAATTCCAAAATTTGGCAAGGCAGAGTTACTGTTCTTTGCACTGCACTTCAAATCAATGTCATTTATCAACCTACAAAGTTTCTTGATGATATCTCTTATGATTTCAGAGTTATGTCCCAGACAACTTCAAAAAGTAAAAATAAACAAAGGGCAATAACTCCAGAATTAGGCTAGGCAGAGTTATGATTCTTGTGCACTGCACATCTACCCATTGAGATATATCTACCTACAAAGTTTCATGTTGATATCTCTTATAGTTTTACAGCTATGTCCTGGACAAGATTTTTCTAAAAGGGGAGATAATTCAAAAATGAGGCTTAACAGAGTTATGGTTCTTTTGCACTGCACCTCTACTCAATGAGATCTATCTACCTACAATGTTTCATCTTGATATCTCTTATAGTTTTAGAGTTATGTTCTGGACAAAGTTCAAAGTGTTAAAATTAACAAAGGGCAATAACTCCAAAATTAGGACAAAAAGAGTTATTGTTCTTATGCACTGCACATCTACCCATTGAGATCTATTCACCTACAATGTTTCATCTTGATATCTCTTATAGTTTTAGAGTTATGTTCCGGACAAAGTTTAAAGTGTTAAAATTAACAAAGGGCAATAACTCCAAAATTAGGACAAAAAGAGTTATTGTTCTTATGCACTGCACATCTACCCATTGAGATCTATTCACCTACAAAGTTTCATGTTGATATCTCTTATAGTTTTAGAGTTATGCCCAGGACAAGATTTTTCTATAAGGGGAGATAATTAAAAAACTGGGCAAAATAGAGTTATGGTTCTTTGACACTGCACTCCCCCTCAATGCCCTCTACGACTGTATGAAGTTTCAACAAATTATCTCTAAGGGTTTTCAAGTTATGCTCCGGACAAGACAACGGACGGACGGACGGACGGACGGACAGACGGACAAGGCGCCGACTATATGCTCCCCCGAAATTTTTCGGGGAGCATAAAAAAACATTACTTGAACAAAAAAGAAATAACACCAAAATAAAGTAAATATTTGAGATAAAATTTTATCACCTGAACAATTGTTTCGTCGATGTCATGAACAATGCCTCTCGATGCTAATTGAATGTTGTTGTGTCTGTACGGCTTTGAGTAAGCTGTCACAAAGTGACCTGCCGTATCTCTTACTTTTATCGTTACAAAGTAGTCGAGTTCACCATGTAAGTGCCATGGAAGGGAATGAGTTGAAAAAGCTGCGCAACTTGGTGGTGTAAGTGAATTACAACTTCCACCAGTCAATATTTTGCTAAATGTAATGACATCTTTTCCGTTTCTTGTTGTACCTGATAAACAAAATCAAAATTGAAACCTGATGATGATTGAAATTTCTGTGTAAACATGGTATATGTACAAAAACAACAGCTGTAGCAATACCAACAGCAACGTGATAAAAGCAATAAAGTACACCTAGTACATACACTTACCAATAGCTGCTTCATATTGCAGAGCATGAGGGTCTCCGTGGTCGGTAAATGTATTTTCATCCCACTTTGCCACCAGATACGTTTCGACCTTTGTATGCTCAACTGTAAGGCTGATTTCCCCGCTGTAATCTGGCTTTGAAGAGTCATAAATAAATGGCCCAATTATCTGAAATATAGTCCTGACACTTTAAATGTTTACATATTCATCTCAAGGTGTTAATTGATCATTTGTATGGTACACATTAAATATTTAAAGGTCTTAATTGATCATTTTTATGTCTTTTTTGGAACGGAAAATGAATAGTTATTTCCTCATGTTTTTTCTCATGTAATCCATTTAATATACAGTCGGAAAATAACTATGCACTTAAATGAGTAAATAAATGAAAACTGACGTATTTAAGGAATATAATCCTTCTTACATATGGTTGTCATATACCTTAACTTTCTTAGTGAGGAAATATGAAATGGAAAACATTCAGCATTGCAATGCAATATATCTCCATATTATTTATTTTTCATTAATTATAGTTATTATACCTCATTTAAAACATTCATTTATTTAGTTTCATTTTAAATTTTCTGAATATATAATGTGTGTGTAATTAAATAATGAGAAAACCTTAATGTCAGTGACAGATGATTTAGTTATCGATTTGATTAAAACATAAAACTGCTCCCCGTCAAATATATCAGGATGGAATATACGTATATGCTGATGATGATGCGAGGACGTGAAATCCATAATATCCGGAAACTCTGAATTTTCAGATGCTATTCCAACTTCATAATCATGAACATTACCAGCTCCCAGTGTGACATTCCATGATATGTCGATCTACAATAGGAAAACATTTTTAATTAAACAAGTTTGCATTTATTGTAACACTTTGAAGTACCTAAAGGTATCAGTTGTTAATTATCATTTAATATAGAATGGTTATTAGTTGTGTAAGGGAACAAATCGACTCTGATCTTTTTTATTTGATTCAGAGATCGGGTATAATTATATTCAACACTAAATTCAGTTTATTTTTTTATTAGTGTTCTGGTTTTACGCCGATTTTAATGTATATTTTGGAAATATTTACGTAGCCGACCAAGCCGATAGGTTTTTTTCGGATATTCCTAGTAATAAAACATTTCTCTGTAATTGATGACACAGTTTCTGAATCAGCGGGGTATGTTGCAACCACTATTGAAATAAAACCACTATTGAAATAAATTATTTCAATAGTGGTTGGGAATGCATTTCATTAGAAAAATCACTTTGCAAATGACCTTAAGACTCAATGTCCAAGATCGGTTGCCAAAAAGAGAATCGAACTAACGGCTTCTAGATTAATAATCCAATGTGGGTGGCTATTAATGTATGCTTGTTTGTAATTTAAAGATACTTTTTCAGTTATTTCACCTAAATTACTCTACAGTTATGTCAAATATGTCTATAGTTTTCGATAGAGATTTTTTTTCCAAATTGTGTAAATACTGACACGTTTGAGATGCGAAAACTTACAACAACTCACCTTTGAATCAGATGTGATATAAGATATCAAATCTGAATGAACACCATGTAGCTCATTACATTCGTCATTTAATTCAACAACATCTACAGTTCCATTAGAACACCTTCTATGAGGGTATAGCTTTATGATAGATTCTTGAACTGTAGTTGCTGTATCTCTATAAATAACAATAAGTGTTTCAATGCATGAATGGTATATTTAGAACATAGATCTTGATTTTGAGTGATATTGAAATAGAGCACGGTTTTGAGTTCAGAAGTACAGTAGTATATTCACTAAGGCCGTATGCCTGAGTGATTTATTAAAAATATCTCAACGACATACCGTGGTATATGTATAATACATTTCACTCATCATAAAGATCTATTTCCATTATAACACGTCAAAAAATAAAAAGTATACTGGCATGCGAGCAGTTCCCGTACAAAAAACGCGGTTATTTTGAAATACGTTTTTAATGTGCACACTCATCGTTAAAAGGTTATTACACACCAATGTTCAGCTCGTCATACACATTCTTGGAAATTCCGATGTGTTCTAAATATAGAATACCTTTATTTGTGAGGCCCGGAATGAGGTACATAAATTATGCATTATTTTGGACGAAGAGAAGCAGTTCCCGTACACATTTTGTAACGAAGCATAATAGTATTCTAATGTTATATTAGTCCTCTATATCGCCAGAAATCGATGATAAGTTCATTTATCTTGAGTTTAATAAATATTTCAATCAGAGTATACAGCATACGAGGTATGTTCAAAAAGTTCGTGGATTTTTGCTGTCATTTTTTACTTGGTTCATGAAAACACCCTTAGTGGATATGAATCGAAAGAGTGTCTTTATTTTCAAAAGTAAGATTTTCTTTTATTGTTAACTTTTATTTCCTTTACGAGTTATGTGCACTTTAATAACCATGGCAACGCAACATCGGCGCACGCCGAAATTTTCATATAATGTTTAAATATAAACACATGTTGAAACAAATTAAATGATTGTTTTATGAAGTTAAATACAAGTAATCATCTATTAATATTTAAATGACATAAATCTGACTTTTGACGTCGTTTGGACGTTGAATAGCTGAACAAACAAGTTTTGAGCAGCAGTAGACAGACGGGTAAGTTGGGAAGTATAAACCCCGTTTGAAAACTAGAAATTCGCTCTTTCGGAAATTTTTACCGATAAATGTGGTATACACCTTTATATTTTTATAAGGTGATTAAATTATCGAAAAACAATGAGTTGTCGAGCAAGTCTCTTGGTTTCAGGTCGCGCAAGCGATTCAAATACGGCAAATACATGCTCACAGATAGAAAGGGCGACGAACAGTTTAGCGGCAAATTGTTGGGACGTTTGTAACGTCAATTGCAAAAGATCTACAGAAGTTCAGGCATTATTACAGTTTTGCGAGATGTCCGACATGTTTAATTTCTGCATCTGGTCTATGCATTCAATTCTGACAAAACAATTTCATATAATTCAAATAATATTTTATTTCATTCATCAGGATATATGCGTATTTACAATAAATAATTGTAGTTATTATTTGTATTACGTGTATTTACCCTGGTCCGTTTGACAATTAATGCTAGCCGGTGTTCAGTAGATAGAATAATTGTCAGTTGATAAAATATTTTCTTAACATCGATAATCATATTGTTTAATGATCGGACGAGGGCGGTTTCAAATTGAAACTATCAATCAACAATTGAATTAACTTAATAACACTGTCCGTTTAGTGTCTAAATTACTCAAAAATCCTGATAAAGAGCGGAAAGTATGCGGCACTCGGACCTTTATACGGAGAATGGAGCGAATAGATGACCAGTTTATATCTCGGGTCATCATCGCAAACAGAAAATGGTTTTGGTATATGATCCGCAGATATTGAACACTAAAAAGAGTACTTTCAGAAACAATGACGCTTGGTAAAATGTTTCATTTATATTGCGACGTCACGAACGTCATTTTGTTTCATCATCAGCGTGCGCCGGATTGTTGCACCCCTTGTGATTTGTAACTGTCACAGAATTTTTTATTTGTAAACATATTGTATTGATTTTTTCACTGTGTATTAAGGACATATTTTAGTATATGTCTCTTGTAAAATCATATACGCAAATTAAAAGATGTGAACAGTAGAGCCGCAGTCCACGAACTTTTTGAACAGCCCTCGTACATTAAATGTCGGTACGCATATCCGGTACCTGTACCCTGACTCATTTACACTCAATGAAGGGATTGTATGCGTGAAGAAAAAAAAAACACAAGTTCTATATTGTAATGTCAGTTCTTTGACTAAGTTATAATCATCAATAAATAAAAAATAAAACCATTGACATTAAGTTTAATGAATATTTCAGTAAACAAATATACGGCGTATAATAAGCGCCGGTAGATTTATCCGGTACCTGTATCCCGACACATAAACATATAAAATGAACGCACTATATTCTGCTACCGTATCTTGAATCTTGAATGCAAAGGATTGACAATAGCAATAAATGTCGAATGCGAAAGTAGCAAATATTTAAATAGATTTTTACATTTATAGCAAAATAATTAATCAAAATCAATTCGCCAACATCGATCATTTTTATCTACATACTACATTCAGCTCATTACAAAAATATTCACTCATTCCTCGTACAGCCACGGTTTACACATCATACAGTACCAATTAACCCCATCATCCATCTAGAAACAATATCTTCCCTTTCCTTTTCCGACAAACATCCTTCGTGATACTACCTCCCACACATATCTTCATCACACCCATACCAAAATATATCATTAACTTCATCATCAATTTTCCCATGAACACCACAAACACCACAAACATAACTAGCAGCTATTCTCTCAGCCATAGTATCTTTCTCCCGAGCTTTCTCTTCCTTCTGTCTACGTTTTAATTCCTGTTTCACAGTTTTTTCTTCAGTTTTCTTTTGTTTCTCTTCTTCTTTCTTCTGCCTTTTCAATTTCCTTTCCTCTACTTCCTTCTGCTTCTCTTCCCGGCGCACCTCTCTGTTCCGTTTCCTTGTCTCCATTTCCTGCTTTTTCTTCTGTGTAAGCTGTTCTTTTTCCTGCAATATACAAATGAAATAAAAATGGGGTGTATAAAAAAAATACACAACGTAAATTAAACGAAAATTGAACTTGCCGTATAATATGAACGTTGCGTATTATAAAATCGTTGCGTACCGCATATATTTTATACTTTTATTTAACAATGGGAATCATAATATATTAAAATGTATAATGTAAAGTGTGTAAAAAGTAATAACGAAAAGTCCTGTAGTCAAGACAACGTCTACATACCTTAAGGTGCATGAGCATTTCCTCTCCAGTAAGGACCCGCGCACTGGGTACCATACGTGTCTTTTTTTGCACGAATGGTTTTGATGGCGGCGGTACCAGAATGTTTGCCATTCTTTGTGGGATAAGTCCCTGGCTTACAAGTGGATTAACAAGAAAAAAATCCACATGTTTCACAAGTTGTATTACTTGACTTGTGTTGCTCAGTTTCGTTACCTGAATGTAAAAAGAATATGTTTTAACATCATGATGATAAAAATGAATATTGTTGAAAATTGAATTACAATAAGCAAAAAAAATCATTTATAAGGTAATAACAGATACAATATATAAGAAGATATTTAGAAAAGTGCGAACTTTGTGTTACATCAAACGATGAAGGAACAAGCTGGCTTTTATCAATGGCATCTGGGTTGAATGGTTGTATTCCGGTCTCTCGAAATGCGTTCTGAACAGACGACGGCGTGGTTTGGTCTACCGAGTATTTCAAGACAACCGGAAATTTTTATTTGCCAATTGTAAGTCTCTGACTTACGAATCCCAGTTTGCTCGCAATCGAAGAAAATCTACCCTTTAGTGGTCCTATTATCTGAAACAGTAAAAAATATATTACCTAGAAACATGAAAACATGAAAATGATAAAATTGATTTTAAGTAATCTTTCAAATTTGCGCTTAAATCCCTTTCATTCATTATTAAATAATATCTTTGTGCTTTGCTAATTTATTTAATACTGTTATTAATTATATACTACTTAAATAAATCACATGTTACTGTATGCTGAATACGGTGACCTGTTCGATGACCTGTTCTCACGTCATATATATATATATATTTTTTTGTTAAAGCAAAACTTACCTTAACATCTAGAGGTTGTAAAAAATGCGTTGTATGTGCAGGTAATCCCATTAAGATAACATCATTTTCAATGGCCTTTTCTATTACTTTCAATGTGATATGCGAGTCATGATTGTCCATAATTAATAATACTGGTCTTTGTTTGCAGCAGTGTACCAAAAATATCTTTTCAAACCATTGATAGAACAAATCCCCGTCCATATACCCGCTCTCACTGAAGGCAAAGAGCCAAGAGTCGGGTATACCATCGTTGTATGTTCTGTGCGGAAGGGAACCCTGTAAAACGGCATTGATACTGTTATTTGGTTAAAATATCGTATTTTTATAAGAAAAACATATTTGGTGAAAATGTCGTTACTTTAAGGATTATAAGTTGCTTTAAATTTAAGAATGGCAAAAACATACAATGTACCTTGAATATAACCATTGATGGGAGGAATGTTCCATCTGCACATACACACAAATGTCCTGTGATGTGGTCGGTAGTGGTGACCTTCTGCGAAAAGACATGTCCTGTCTTTGGACCTACAACCTTTGTTCTCACTGCCTCTTTCCCGGACCAGCCCGTTTCGTCACAATTATAAATCTTAAAAAGTGTGCAATTTCCATCATTATTTTTTTAAAACTTTGTTCCTACAATGTTGTAATCCCTCTATTGATTATAATTATAGATTGAAATTAAAAAGAAGGAAGCAATTTTTCTGATTAATAGAAGTCATTGCAATGAAAATTTAACGTACTTAGAGGCTGTTACCGATAAAAAAATATTGTATAAAATTGATATTTTACTTCAAAAGAAACACTGTATTTATATTGGCATATATTTTATATAAATGAGTACCTGTGCAGGTTTGTCTGTTAAACCATTTTCACCAAGGACTTTTTGCAGAAGAGTAAAGTAATCGGTCGCCACTTTCGGGTTGGACATTCTGGTCCTACTCCTGTCCTGGTTTTCAGCCTTTCGTTCCGACAGTTCCGGATGCCTTTTATAAAATTTCCGGAACCACTCGTCCGACGGACCCTTCTCCAAATTATACAGGCTGCTGCGACCTGATTATAAGAATATAAGTAATATAAGTATATCTACAATACTAGAATTCCTTATTTTACGGAAATGGCCATGAAAGAAATACATGACGCATACCTCGGGAAATAATAGTATTATAATATAAAGGAAATAATTTATGGATCATGTCATTGGGAGACACTCACATTTTGTGCTCTCAGATCCTTGGTTATAGACCCTAGATGAGCGAGATATCTATTTCTTGCAGGTCTCGCGGTAATGCATTGATTATTTCATGATAATTATGGTAGATTTAATGAAAAAAATTGCAACATTATACATGTACTATTTGTTGTAAGTTTTGATTTCTTATATATTTAAAATTATTGTTGGCGAAAGAAAAGGTGAATTTAAACGAGCTGTAAAATTAAGCTATTAACCTGATCTCTTAACAATTTCTACCACATAACACCGTATCATAGCACGTGTCATTGGTAATCCGTGCCGTGCCATGTTAAGCAGATAATTGACAATACTTGTCTCTTCCTCTTGTGTTAGTTGTCTAGCTGGCCCTTGCTGGTTAGACTTATAAACACCCCTCACATGATCATACAAAGTTGTCACTGGTACACTGTACTCATGGGCAGCCTGTCTGACTTTCAGCCTATTCTGCCGCACAGCCGACAGTGCATTTTGAAATGCTTCTTTTGTGTATTTTCTAGATTGCATTTTAAAGCTAAAATTTAAAATGGAATATATTGGTATAAAGGGCCCTAAAATAATAAACTAAAAAGCAGTTTGCAATTCAAGCGGTACCTAACAATGCAAGGGAGGTAAATGAGGGAAGGGAAAAGGGCACTTGACTACCACAGTTAACTCCCTTGGATTAAAAAATTGACGATAACCTCCCCCCTATCTATATTTTAAAGTTCTCTGCATTTTTCATTTTCCTACTGCAATAATTCACATTTAAAAGTAATTACTTTATTTATACTTCGATTACAAATGACAATTCTTTTAATATTAAACAAGTTTTATTGAGTCGTCTGCTTGTGTATTCCCGGCAGGTATTATTGGAGAACCACATTACGGGCCTCATGAGGCGGTTTTTCTGCGCATGCGCACAAAAATCGGAAGTCCCCAAGTTTACAAGGTCAAATTTTGACAACACACAGGTTTATACGATTTAAAAATGTAAATTTTGTTTACCTACTGCGGAACTTACACTTTGATGTTGTCCAGTACAAGCGTCTGTGTGATCGGATACCAATGATCAAAGAATGTAAGTAAAAATCAAGCGTTTATACAAAAAATACGGGTACTGCTTCTGTACGGGAACTGCTCGCATGCCAGTAGTTTGACTATATTTTTGGTGGTGAACTTTGTTGTTTTTTTTGTCCAGAGCTTCTAATAGCAATTTTCTTTAATTTTAAGACTTTTCCAGTCGGTTGAAATATCGTCAAATCTCGCCTTTTTACAAACATTTTGAGAATAACAACTTTTGAAAACGTTGGGAAAGTGTTTTGTCAGCTTTTGCACGTGTTGTTTGGCTCTGCATTGTGACTCTGTCACCTCAATAGATTAACCTTAATTGAGTGAGTCATTTAGTCAAATATAAGTGCAACATTTATCATAATTACAAACCTGCAAGTTTTAGAGGGATTAGCAACTTTCTCCAATTCTCTGTTTCTATTGAGGACATACACCGTATCAGTGGCATCACTTTTGATAAGACCATTTGTCGCCACAGCATCGTGTAAAATAACTTCGGATACAGCAGCCGGTAAGTTATCAATCGTAACACCGTCAGAACAAACAGGTTTACTATGACCAAGGGCGTGATTATATGCCATGACTGTGAGAAAATATCTGCCAGGTTTTGGTGCTATAAACTCAGCTCTACTGTCATACGTCCAATTAACCTGAATGGTAAAATAAGAATAGTCCAGTATGATACATGTGAACTTTCACATTTTCATTAGTTTTTCAAGCAAACGAGATACAATTTAAATTTAAAGATGCTTATCTTTACGTCAACCTCACAGGGCAAAAATCACAAAAATATAGAATGGTGTCAGATTTTGTTTACATTCCAGAAGCTAATAATAATAGCAAACTGATTCAAAGTAAAAAGAAGACACATCAGTATTTATATTCTAAAGATGCAAATGTGCCCTTCATCATGTGCAAGATTTTTTCATGCTAAAACTCTCTATATTCTAAAATATGTATCGAGAAACAAATGAAAAGAAGTTTGTTTAGCCATAAAATATTACCCCACATTTCACCTTAGTTTAAAGCTAAATACGGTTTTTTATCTTTTAAAAAGTATTTTACTGCAAGTTTTCCTTACTTATTTCTTAGACAGAATACGGCTTACTTATGTAATATTTTGTTTACCCTTGAATGTATATCAAGATCATTTTCATCTAAACAGATTTCACTAAAGCCATATGAATAGAACCACACACTACTTTCTTTGTCGAAAAAGTCATTCCAATGCCCTGCTAGCTTGAGAGACTGCTGAAAATCAACTTCAGGATCTCCGGGAATACCGTCATACACCTTGCCTTCGTGTGGCGATGACGTGTCAATTGTTATCTTCGAAAACAACACATACGTTAGGTGCATGTATATTTAATTTGTTTTCAAGTGACTTTTAAAAAAACAAGCTGTGATTTTTCATTTTTTAATGTGTGTAAGCAGATTAAGATGTCCGTTCTGATTCGAAAGACGTATAATAAGCAGAAAACTCTTTGAAAGAAACACTTTCAAAAAGGATTTATACTAAAAACTCTTATAAAATATCTCATCAATAATATATCGAAAAACTTTTTTACAATCGACTCTTCTTGATACCTGCATTAAGTATAAGAATGAAGTTTATTTGACCTTTATTGTGATAATGAATATAACGTTTCAAGATTTAATCAATGACTATAAATGACACAGACAAATTTACACAATACCTTCTTATGTTCGGTTGTTGACAATCCAGCACTGTTGATGACAGTTACCTCTATATAATAGTCGTAATCGTGATCGCCTATTTCTTTACCAAAGTGTAAACCGGCATTGTTAAGGTTAGAAACTGGTGGTTTGATCTGATAATGTCTATGAAAACATCCATTATACGGAGAACAGTAGCAGTTTGGTCCTCGGGGATATAAACCGTATTTTTGATTACACTCCTTTAAATCCTTTATGAAAAAAAGAAACGTCAATTCAAAATAAAAATATGAAATAGTAGATTTTACAACTAACAAGAGCGATCAGAGATTACATGTGTCGCCTCATGATTGCCAATTTCATGTTGGGACAAGTTTTGTGACAGACGGACAGACAGACGGACAGTGCACAACTAGACTTGGTACTGATCATTCCTGTAAAGTTTGGATAAAATTGCACCAGTAGTTTATGAGGACTAGTCCGGACAAGCTTTTGTGTTTCGGCAACAAAAAGAAAAAAAAACACCTTTTTATCAAAGGGCCATAACTCGGTCAAAAATCATTTAACCGGAAAACCCGTGCAATATACGCAAGGACTTGAGCTACAAATCGATCCTGTAAAGTTTCATTGAAATTGCATTAGTGGTATAAGAGAAGTAGTCCGGACAACTTTCAAAATAAAAATTATTAAAGGGCCATAACTCTGACAAAATCATTGAACCGGAAAATGCTGACAATATGCACAACTAGACTTGGTACTGATCAATTCCTGTAAAATTTAGATGAAATTGCACCAGTAGTTTATGAGGAGTAGTCCGGACAAGCTTTTGTGTATCTGGCAACACACAGAAAAAACACCTTTTAATCAAAGGGCCATAACTCGGCCAAAATTCATTCAACCAAAAAACCCATGCAATATGCGCAAGGACTTGAGCAACAGATCAATCCTGTAAAGTTTCATTGAAATTGCATAAATGGTATAAGAGAAGTAGTCCGGACAAACTATAAAAAAAATTATTATAGGGCCATAACTCTGACAAAAATCATTGAACAGGAAAATGCTGACAAGATGCACAACTAGACTTGGTACTGATCATTCCGGTAAAGTTTGAATGAAATTGCATCAGTAGTTTATGAGGAGTAGTCCGGACAAGTTTTGTGACGGACGGACAGACGGACAGACAGACAGACAGACGGAAGTTCTAACAGGAGAGTAATTATGTGGCTTCTCCATTGTTCTCTCTATTGTTCTTTTTAGCCACACAAAAGAAAATAGCCACATAAAAGCATTACGGAATGAATGACATCAAAGAGAAAGAACAGTTACCTATTATCCCTCTAGCCACATAATTACTGTCCTGTGAGTGCAGACAGACAGACAGACAGACGGACAGACAGACGACGGAGAAGTGATCCCTATATGTCGCCATTACTCCGTAGAGGCGACACAAAACTGTGACTCCTATTTAATTCTTAACTGCCTTAAAAAATTTGAAGTTCTTATATTGAAACGGCAAACCTTTACTATTTTGAATGGCATGCCATTCTCTACTATAATTGTGAAATCATCTCTTGAAAGTATAAAATTTAGTTTCATATGAATTCAATAAAAATTTCAATGGATCTACCTTTGTTTCACCTTGTGGAGGTTCATTCGAATTACCATAGACAACCACATCTTTAGTAAAGTTATCAAATACTTTCCACGACACCTCATGTATACCACTGTGATAATCAAATGTTTCCCATTCAATTCTAAAACCAAGAATAAATAAATTATAGATATCAAATTTTAAAAATAGATAATATGATGCTTTCCAACTGCATATTAATACGTTATCAAAAACTTTTGATTATTTAATTTTTAACAGTTTGAATTGAGACGTGATTTTTACAAATTAAAGTTTTTAAAACCTAATCATTAACAAGTTTCCAAACGTTTGAATAGAGTTAATGTTTTATAAATTAGAATTAAGTTAAACACATTTACTTTTATGTCGGTCGCAATGAATTAAATCATCAATTCGAAGAATTTTTTATATATGTTATATTATTTCTAAATGTTCATACTCAATATAATATATATCATAGCTAATTAATTACGTAAGTTCCTTCAATTCCAAAACACTGTGAACGCTGATATTGACTAAATCTCCCTTTGTCAGCCACAAATTTTGTATAACTGGAGGCGACAGATCTATCATCACTGTCACATTGTCTTCGGCAAATTCCCCAACAACATCGTATCCACGTATACGATAGGTCAATCTTTTGCCATCGATTAATTTTTCATCCGTGTATATCATTTTCTGGCTATGAAAATACTTATCAGGTACCCTTTGAAAACCACTGAATGTTGAAGAGTTTTGGAATTCGGTCAAATATGCTATTTCGAAACGTATAATCCCTGCAAAAATATTATTGTCAATATATGTTAAAGCATCTAAGTAAAAAAATATCTTAATCTGATTTTGAGTTTTAAAAACTATTTATAACTATAACAATTAGATTTACTGTGTATATCCTGTAAGCAGAATATGAAATAAGTTACGTTAGGCGCAAAGGTTACGTCGAATCCGTACAACGCTTTAGCAAAAACGAGTATTTTTCATTACCAAAGTATTTTTTGGAACTGAAATTCAAAGAAACGAATTAGCGCATACTTTTGCTATGAACTGTAACCGGTGGTACAAATTTACTTTAACCAGTATTACAAATGTGTCAGCATTTCTTGTTTTTACTTTTTTAGATCATTTGTGTGAATGCCGATCTTACTAACGTTTTAAGTATGACTTTTGTGTTTCATCGAAATAAGTAAGTAAAGTAACGCATGTAAAAATCTTCATTGGTTTTATATTTAATACACGTTAGACAATTGTCCAAACTACTAGTGTCTTCAAAAATTGTCTTATTTACCTTTTATCTGCTAATTTTAGTGTAATATGACACACGTAGTGTGCCAAATATTTCAGGTTTACCGAATAACAAAATCAGTAATGTAATTTATATGTAATTGTATTAGGTCATACTGACGAGTCGCTTTATCTTCGCTAGGTCGTCATTCACAAATAAGAATAAAATAAACACTGTAAATTTTAGTTAGCAAAATATGCGCTCATTTATTCCTTTCATTCTATAAAAATATTGGTTCATTTATGTACCGTTGTGATAACTTTGACCATAGAATTATACAATTCTACATTACTTTTGCTGTACAATTCCTGTGTCATTTGCACATTCCTGCTTTATATTATATACATGGTGAAAAGACAATTTTGTTTTTGATTCTAAGAACTGTAAGAGATTTAAAATATTTCTAATCTGTGTGGTTCTTGTTATATATGGCATAATGAATTCCGTACATACGAAATATTTATAACAAACATTTATTACCATCTATATTATCTATCTTTTCAATTGTCCTTTCAGATCTTCCGTGACGATCATCAAGGTCCCTGCTAACATTTTTACTTCCCTGAACTTCATTTAGCCATCCCCCGTTACTATGTCTTACATTTCTGAATCTTCCTTGCCAATCAATTTCAATTACATCACTAAACTTATTTATCCAGTTATTTGCTGTGGCCTGTATGACTGTACTTTCATTTCCATGAAGGTCGACAACAGATGCATTGTCGAATAATACTATTCTCCTTGCAACTTTATGGTTTTTAGCCCGGTCGTATGTGATAATTTCAATAGAATAAGGCCCAGGTTCGTCAAGCTCTAGCGTGAGGGAACTCTTAAAGTAACACACAAAATATTTTACAAAAAAGTCTACTTCTGTAATATTATTTCACGAGAGAAATATATACACGCATGAAGAGTGGCCTATTTACATGGTATTGAATTTGTCCCAAAAACTCTTCGTGAACAGTTGAGCTTGATCAATATTATTATACTAATAAAGACATGACATGCCGCCAGACATATCCTTACAATATAAAATGTTCACTATCTCAGACAAGTATTGTATTTTTGTTGAAATTAATTTTCAGACAACTCAATGCCAATTTCGTCAAGGTCTAGTGTGGGAGAACTTTGAAACCAATGCCATCGTCATATTTTAAATTGTTGTCTGCATCTCAATAAATGATACATCCTTAATAAAATGTGTTACAATAGATTCAGGTTTTGTTTGATTTATCAATCCTTTAAATCTTGAAGGGTCTCAAACTTGTATTGTCTAGTCGTTTGATATAAACTTGTTCTGAATCAGTATATATGATTTGCTTGTACAGCCCCTTGGGACATATTATCTGCAAAATTGTACATGGATACATATAATATCAATAAAGCTACATATTTGAAGTTTACAAAAAATTTTGGGAAAGCATGTCAAGGAATGATACGTTCTGAAAAATCCAAGATGGCCGCCAAAACATTAAAGGATGGTTCATAAGCATTTGGTGTAATAAAATAAGTTTCTTTTAATCTATTTTGGAACACGTGATGTTAAAACATCAGATCATACTAAAACAATATGTCTTTTCTATTATTTATAAATAGTTTATGGATTGATTTTATAGAGAAATTTGTTTTAAAAAACGCATGAAAAAATATCAAACATTCGACATGGGGCTGACATTATTTCCTATCAGTCATTGCATAGTAGAAAAAATGAATATTTTTACCATATATTGCAAATGCCTTACCAACATCTTACTTATTGGCCCTTATTTCTTATCTTTATTGTGTAAGAATGAGGATTATGATATTTTTAAAGTGTTTGCAGTAAACGAAAATTGAGTGTCGGTATTTTGTGAATTTGTATGTTATGATAATTGAAACTATGAATAGTGAACATGTATTGCACTTGGACACGTACCTTAATTCAAAGTGATTTTGAATGTTTAATTAATAGCTCGTTCATCAATATTCAACAGGTTATGTTGCCATGGCAATGAAATATTAATTTAAATGAAAGGCACCTAAAATAAATCACACCTGGAACGTATGAGACTTTCAACTTTTAGCATTTCAAGGATGTTGATGAAGAATGACATGATTTTACCAGAGACAAAATTCAGATGAATTATCTGGGCAAATTAAATATGTTGTCATGGTAACAAATTTGAAAAACAAAGGGACTCCACTGAGTTTTATTTTACATGACGGAAGTAGAAATATATTTTAATATTTGTGTACCATTTTCTGTAGGTCTGGAGCAAAAACTTGTGTTCAAATTTTTAGACCATCGTCTCAGCCCGTTTTTCCAGAATAATCATTGTTGTTGTGAAATAAAGACACTCTTTTCATGCAAATCTAGTTAAGAATCACACAAAAGAAAAATCGATTTTCAGTTTTATTCTGAGTGGTGTTTGTTTTTTGCTTTTTGTTGGTGTTGTTGTTGTTGTTGTTATTGAAGAAACATAAGAAAACCTACAAGCTTTAAACCTTGGTATTACATTTATAAGAATATGTTAATTCAAGCGACCCTTTGGCAAGTAATTTTTGATCAAACGAGCTTAGATGTGATGTATAATATCATTGACAAAATTGCAACAAGAGAATGTTTAGAGATCTCAGACATTTTATTTTGGAAGGAGAATATTTTAAAAAAAAAAAACCTTTTTCTACATAAAACTATATAAAATTAACTCATTGGGCTGAGCAAACTTTGACTCGAGGGTCACGACTTGAATAAGATTAATAAGGTCTTTGGCAATGCTGTACACTGTACAATGCTGTAAATTTCAAAAGGATAAAAACAGGGTTTTCTCAATGTGTTTAAGTAAAATTATGTGGGCATTCGGTTTAGGAGGAGAAGATTTTTAAGTTTTTCCCATATGTAAAAAAACTTCTTCCTGGCATTGGGGTAAATTTGACCACATGGTTATGATTTTATATTAAATAGTGGTCTATTAGATAATGCTTTAAAACATATCTAAGCTCTGGGATCTGTAGCTTTGGAGAAAAATGTGTTAAATGTTTTCCTAAATTTACACTGTGTAAAAGCAAGTTACCTCCGGGGGCTTGGCGAATTCAAACAAACTTGGTAGTTCCATTTGAAGAAGGCTCTAGATCTTGCTATTTTCTGAGAATATTTGAAAAGATCACACTTTGTCAGTTCGTTTTTAACCTCCTTTATGCAACAAACCAGAAACGTTTGAACAATTTTCGTAGATTTTGACGCAAAAAAGGAAGCATCATTTCTACCAAATTTCATCAAATCTAGCCTACTTGTCTCACAGAAGATATAATTTGAATGAATTTTTGATGAGGAAAAACGATCCTAAATGTTTACTATATCACTGCGTGACATATGATCCTAAAAACTGATGTCTGGTTGGGTCTTACGTCGCGTCAACACTTTAAAAGGTCATCTTGCGACTTTCCTGCTTTACTGGTGGAGGAATACCACAAGTGCCCCCCGCGCATTATTTCAGAATAATGACACTTTTTGTCATCTAAAGAGGCAAATCAGAATTACATTATCTATAAGAAGTTGAAATTTGGCCTGTAAGATATTCGCCGGCAGATACCGGTCAATATGATTTCCTGCCGGTGAATATCACTTCATATTCAATGGCTCGTTAGCCAAAAATTGTTTGCCTGTTTCATTGAAGCGTGGGGAAAAAAGACGCACGCAAACAAAATGACGTCAGGCGTTCAATGACTACGCGGACGCGTTTATACTTATCATTGATATGTAACTTTTAACTAGTACAATAAAGGAATGATATTTTAATCGTGAAACATGCAATAAAGAACAAAACTCAACGATCTAATGAAAAAGTCTCACATTTATAATGAACGAAAACAATTTGAGCGACATCTTTAAAGAACAAATATTATTTCTTTCTCTATTTTTTATGGAAGATCATTCAATAGTCTTTGGTCTTCAAATAAATTCATATTACCTAAGGCATTGAAAAAATATCGGAACTACTAATATTTTAGAGTTATTTTGATTTCTTAAGTCTGAATTGTTTAATGTACCATCTTCTTTAGCATGTACATAATGTATACTTGATCTTGTCCATTGAAGGATGTGAGAGTATTTGCAATGGTTAATACTGTATTTGATTTAAATACTAGGTAAACAATGGAAAATCTTTATGATGGTGTTATGTGTCCGCATCGAGATAAAACAACCTGATATGTTGTGAACATTTCGGAGTTTCTTGATGATGATTAAAGACTGACGGTCTGTATAACAAAGCATTACAAGGTCTGATCTGCATGTCTAAAGAAAATTTATAAAGAATTATGAGACATCGATGTAAAGGTATTTTCTATTGTGGCCTGTTTGTTACGTGTAGGAAGACCTATTTGGTATGTGTAGCAAGACCTGTTTGCATGATTTATATGTTGCTCCATATTTTTAGAGAATAGAAGAAAGTGTCAAAATGTCAAAATGGTAATGTTATCTGTTAATATTATTTTATTATCAGACAGCCTTGTATTACGTAGAGGTGAGTGGACAATTATTCTAAGGGTTTGTTATCAGATTACACTGCAACCATGACACAAAATCTTAAAGACATTTTTCAACACAATACATCGAAACGAATGAGTCATTTTTCAAATGTTAGGTGGCTATCTTGGCGACAATCTTGAATTCTCAAAACATACCATGATTTTACATGTCTACCCAAACTTTTTTAAACGTCAGATATGTAGCTTTCCTTGATATACTATTAACCCATAGACTTTATTGCACCGTAAAGGTTCCCAGGAACTGTACTATTGACTGTCAGTATAGTTTTATTACAAAACTATAGATAATGACTAAGAATTCTTGTAATTTTGTATCTCTAAATATATATTCAGACAGTTACATGCTTACATATGAGGAACTGGCTTTCATTGAAGGATTAAGCACATCTCCATTCTTAAGTGGACCAGTGTCAGATGTCTTTTGTAATTTGTATATATTAAACTCATACTCTTTAACGCCAGAATCACTGTCATTCCATCCGTCCCACTGCACGGTCACTTTCGGCTGAAATGAGATTTTTATACCATAATTATGCAGTGTAAATGATGAATTTTTATATTAGCATACGAATGTATATTGTCTACGAGGCTGACGTAACATTATTATTTAATCATTTATATATTTGTCATTTTTTACAATAGTATGGGACATTTCTTTAAAAAGATTATTTTCTTAACAAAGATATATTTAAGAAACGATATCATAGGTGTGACATGACTAAAACATCATTTGCTTTTTGTATGCTAATGCTCACATCCATTTTTTTGCACTATTCCGAACAATGTTTAAGTTAATACAAATGTACAAAGAAAGCAAATGTTGCAATGGACAATGTACAAGTGAATTAGTAATTTACATAATGGAAAAGAAGGTATTATTTCTATAATGAATTTAATTTTGAAATTGAATGGTTAAACAGTTTATAACTCTAAAATATATTTGCTGCTAACATTACCTGTGTAAGAAAATCTGTTGCTTTTAATGCATCTTTCTTACAGTCGTCACTTTGTTCAAAGCAATGATCAGGTGGGTGAGTGTCAAATTCCAGTTCAAGAAATTCGGTTGTTTTAATACCATTAAGATAATACTCTTCTTTTGAATATGGCTGCTGAAAACTACTTCTGTCCTCATAAAGTACTTTGCCACCGTTTTTTGCAGATACGGTATATTCTATTCTGAAAGAAAATATTTCGACATAAACCAATAATATATAATTATGAATTCAATGTACATTAACATTTTCAAGAATAATTTCAATGTTTTGCTGATAAATACTTTGTAAAACAATGGTTTACGAGTACAGGTGCAAAATAAAGCGGAAAGAAGAAAGTGCTTTACTTTAATGTTTGAAAGGTTTTAAAATTAAGTTTTACGTATTATCTTATGTTAGAACTACATAAACCTTAACTAGTTTTAAGTTTGTAAATTTTTCGAAATTTGCTTAAAGGTATGATCTGTACAATATACAAATCTAACTTAATGAACTACAGTTAAATTGGTTAATTGCCGACCCATCCTACCAAATAACATTTGCACATCTGAATCATTTATGGGTAAATGGGTATGTGACAAAGATGTGTAGATAAGGGCCTCGTATACAATGTATTAGAATATACTGGCCTTGATATTGTTTCCATACCTATCCCCATGCGTAAAGTTTCCTTTCAATATCCTTTGCCATGATTTTATACTCTTTATTGAATAATTCCCCGTGATCTCCGGGAACCTTTTATCACAATTTTCAGCAAAGTTTGTACACCCTCCGTTTATTGACCACTGTGCCCTGTCTGTACCTGTTAAAACACACTTTTTTATAAACTAATATTACCCTAATGACATATTATACTTGTAGCAAAACAACACAAAATGTTTATTACTATTTGGATCTGCCCTTCATGGAATAAAATATATTCTGTCTATAATTGCAATTTACCACATTTTTATGGAATATTATTATAAAAATATGTTATTTCTTCAGCAGTAAATAGTAAGGGCTGTAAAATGTGTTTACTTCTTGGTAACATAGCTTTTTCCTTCAGAACTTGTTTCAGTCTTTCCAAAGGCTAGGATTCATTTGAACAGTATTAACTTAACGACAAACTAACAAAGCCACAAAGAATATGGTAAAGGTAAAGGTCTTGTTTATTATAGTGTCACCACTACTGAAAAGGCCAGCCATTTCTGACTTATTAGACACCTTTGCTTGCATACCATATACCTCTCAACTCCTACCACTATGCCAGGCGCCAGGCGGATAGAAATCGGTAACCATTCATTTTAACTACCTTGCTGCTCACGAAGCGGTCATTTCGGGTTTGAGTCCCACGAGAAACATTCATCCTTCAAATAACGCTCTCCTTGGGGCTCGAACCTTCGACCTCCCGATTCGAATGCGGACGCCTTAACCACTAGGCCAACGGTACCGGTTGATATGATTGATAAATTAAATGAGTGTCACGTAACCGATTATAAGTTTACGTCATAATTTTGACGCCGAAACCAAAATTCATTTATGACGTCATATTTTACATCATTGGAACACTGAAGCTGACAAGAGAAAGTCTGTTTGAATATTTCCTTATCTTTATTCTAACGTAAGCGATATATGAGATAATCCACAAACTGTTATTTAAAGGCAAAATAATATAAATGAACGCATATGAAAAATATATCTACAAGTATAAATAGAAAGGAAGCAACTCTTGACTATTTGAAAGGGCTTTATAAAGAAAGGTTTTCTTTTTTCAAATTGCAGTAAAATGAACAAGAAACATTGATATGTTTGCTCATGTTTAAACTGACTTTTGAAAATATAATTTACTATAAAAGACTTTGCTATATAAGGCATTACCTGGCAAAATATTGTCATATCATTATCATTAATGGTCAAATGTAATCAAAAGTAATTTAACAATAACTGCAATTCAATATCACTTAAGCTAAAGTATATACCTCTGAACAACGTGAGACCAATGTCCATGTCATCTATTCCGATCGTATAATCTGTTATATAGTTTGGTATCTTTTCGTTGTCTATCTGTGGTTTATAGTGTGACGAAGCTTTCAGCTTTAGCTTGGACCAATCAGTTACTTTAGTCCAGAATTTTGTTTTATTAAATGCTTTTTCCAATACTAATTTATGATCTGAATTATCCATCAGGGTAAAAAAGAAATCTTTAATTGTCGGTTTTTTTGCCGATGTAGCTAAAAAATAAATGGAATAACAATAACAAAATCAGTATAGAATTTGATATACCATGGTTGATGACTCATTATAAACCTCCTGAGAAGTGAAGTCTTTTTTTTTTTTTCAGAAAAAAATAAAACTAATTTCTCACATGATAAAATGTAACCATTTCAATTTCAGCGTCTGCACCTAAATGCTCCAATATCAATGATGAAGGGATCTAATCTTATTAATTCAACCTTCTTTTTATTTTAATTTTAGTTAATATATTAAGTCCATGTTGTACTTCATCTAGCCTTTTCATTCTTCAGAGACCACAATGATCAATATCAAATTCAAATTTCACTCAATCTAGAAATGTTTTTAGATTCCAAGTTCAAAATTTATATCAAATCTACTTGAATACATATTACATATTCGAGACACTTAAAATTCTGTATCATTTAGCGTTTTATCACTGTGATCGGATGTCATTTGCAAAGAACGTACTTTTATGTCAATAAAGTTGTATCAAAATGCAAAAAGAAATGGCAAATAAACGTAAGAGATAATTAAAATGATTAATTAAATATATTGATTACTGGTACACAACTACACAACCTATATGAGACCCGGCTAGAGCCTCATCCGGTACGAGTTTTACAGTTGTGTCTCGCCTGTTCACCTACCAGTTGCACAGTCCATACCACCACCGAATCCGACGGCACATTTACAGTCTTTGCTTAGTACCATATCACCAGTGCAGCTTCCAGGAAAACATCTTGCTCCCTGTTTCCAAGAACACGCCTCTACAGGGTACAAACAATCAAAGTATAACATCGACTGTCAACATTTTGCATTGCAGAAGAAATAAGGATTTTGTATTAGTCAAATTAATTTTAATTAATTTTTCCATTTTTTTTTGACAAGTTTTGATCAAATGAACCAAGTTAGACTCCTACAACAAATTTATTTAACCAATTAAAGATAAGCAATGAATCTGTTATGAATATCAAGTTTGTAAGATTACCGTGTGTTATTACCATGTGTTAAATTTAAAATTTCATGTACTTAAAAACGACAACGACAACAAAAGACAAGGATCCCCTTAAATCCTTAACAACATTGCATTTGAATTTATTCAAACTAAGTGTCAAATTACAAAGTACAGTTATGGATATGAACACCGAACAGCGAATGTGCCTGACACTTGTGACATGAACTTGATCTTAAACCCGGAGAATAAAAACTTACTTTGACATTGCTTATTATTCGGTTTACCAGTATAGACGTTATATCCTGGTTTAGTTCTAATGTATTCTTCAACACAATAGTCACATCTGTAATCACTACTCGTTGTGCAGAACGCCCGATTGCAGTTTGCTGGTTTGGAGCACGCTTTGAAAATGGGGAAATTGTTAAATTGATTTGGTTTCAAAAATAAAACACGTAATAAAAAGAATTAATGACTAAAACAGTAGAAATATCATAAAGAAAGCTCATATTTCTGTTGAATAAAAGTCATATATTAACATAAGTATTCAAATAAAATACGGATTTGTTACATAGTCTGCCTATTTATGGTTGCCATTAACCTTCACATGCAACCAAAAATTATCAGAACTATATTCGTTAAAACAACTTCAGATGCATTGAAAGGGAACTAACTTTCCTTTTAATTTTTGACTACGGTTTGAAATGTGTTACCCTTGCAATATCCGTTGTCATACTTCACTGGATAGTATCCTTCATTGCAATCTTTGCAAAGTGATGGAGCAAAGCATATTCCACCACTATCTCTCACAACTCTTCCATCTATGTATTTCGCTTCGCCTTCATTGTTTTTATTGCAAGTATTTGGACCGTAGCCATCGGAGCAACGTGCTAAAATAGTATTATGAAAATGAAAACGTATATATCATTCAAGAAAAATTATACATTCACGCACAAGCTCAAACGCACGTACGCGCACACACACGCACACACATACGCACACGCACACATACATACATACATACATACATACATGCATGCTACATACATACATACATACATACATACATACATACATACATACATACATACATACTCTGTCTTCGCGCAAACTTTTCTGCAATATTTATAAGTTCATTTACAATGAATCAATATAAGCAATACCAGTTGTAGCTTCATTAAGCAATACAAAAACATAAATATGATTTCGACTTGTCTAAACACTTATGTTTATATTGGAGAAATGCAAATCAGTTCTTATTTAATATGAACAAGTTATTGAGTAGTGATTTACCATATACTGATAAAGAGTTATAATTTCTAAAATGTTCTATAACTCTTTTTCTTTTTTTTCTCGTACAACTACTGAATATTTGTTGAACGATTTACGTACCAAAGATTTCATAAAGGTGCAGGTAAAAATCATAGATACAAACATGTATATCAAAAAGAAAAAGAATATCTTTATCTATCAAATGTAATTGTGATAAATATCTAACATACGTGAATCACATCTTTTAACCGGTGTCAAACTGTCTCTCCATCCGCTACAGCATTGGCTATTTTGTAAATATCTTTAAACAAAATTTTACAACAATCAGATCAATAATATGTTAAGACAAAACATTATCAATAAATAAATTGATAAATATGATTTATATTTATTTCATCGTTTGTATGATACAAAATTATAGTTATTAGCATCATATGCAGTGCATATGCTGTAGCCCGCAGCAGCTATACATAATTCAATTTCATATTTATTTACAATAACACTCAGTTTGTATAATTTAAAAAAAAACATGAGCAAATAAAATAAGCAAACATATAAAAGAAATAGGTCACTGTGATACTTAGGTATTGAAATAAACACAAAACAATAATGAAAATATAAATTAACTTACAGGACAACACTATAGATTTATGTGTGTAAGGTGATATATCGTATAATAAATACCAGGTTTTGGTTTTAGATTTAAGTTATTTGTAATTAAAACATTTTTATGGTTTGATTCAATAACAGTAATTTAATCGCGTAAACCAGTGGGGGGGGGGGGAGAATATTCTTTTTCAAAAAGGCATTTGATTGACAGATAGCCTATCTTAAAGTGGGCCGATGACCACATTCAAGTCAGTCATTGCTGTGTTTTAAGTTATAGCAATAACCACAAGATCTATCAATGAATAAATGAAAGAAGGTGTTTGGAATGAAATTTCCATACAGGTGGTCTTTAAATTAGTTTATTGAAATATGAGGTTATACTATTATGTTCTAATTTGACATCTGTTTAACTTTGAATGATGGAAATAAAAACACATCAGTCACTTATGATAGCATAGTCATTTATTTTAAGTATATTTTATATACATGTAATAAACATTGACCACAGAATAGCACATTTTATGACAATGCGCGTAAAGGAACATATATCTGTGATACTTTACTGACAATAGCCTTGCATTCGCAAGTAAATTTATTTTGTAAAACGGAATACCATTATAGGACGATTTGACGGGGTTAGTAAACTTCATTTATAAAACTGATAAACTTTAAAAGACTTTTAAGATTTAATTATAACCTTTTGATAAAATCTAGACTAAGAGATCAATTTGTTCAAGAATGGATTTTAAATATTAATTCTATGTCAAAATTAGATTACTATTGCAAATATAAAACTGAATTTTGCTTTAAAAAATACTTGGATATTATATTGAATTATAAGCTAAAGCAGCATTTGGCATGTTTAAGATTATGCTCATATAGTTAATATTTAGCATTAGGAAGGTGTAATAATTTTGAAAGAAGTAATAGTTTGTGCAAACCATGTAACCAAAATGCAGTAGAGTCAGAATATCATTTTGTTTTGTGTTGCTCACGTTACAGTAGTATTAGATCAAAATATTAAGGCCAGTGTTCATGGCCAACTATACAAAGGTTTAATGAATTGATGTCAAATTAAAGTAAAAAATAATTATATGTTTAATCTAGAAAGTATATAAAAGAAGCATTATGTTTACGTCAAAATACCCTTGAAAATTTACCTGTCTTTTGATAGTATATTGTACTTCATTATTTATGTCTATCTTATTTATGTATATAATAGTCTTTGTCATAGGTATTTGTTTGTAAATGGCCAATAAATGAAACTAAAACTAAATATAGAAAAATGGTTTCTGGACAATAACTAGAGTTAGGAATAAGATATTTTTATCAAAATTAATACACTGCAAGCTTATAAAGCTTATACTTGTATAAAGACCTTGGTTGGGATTGCTTTGGGACACCTTGTATCAAGGTCACCATTACTAAAAATAGAAACATGGTTTCTGGACGACGGTATTAGTTAAAAAAATGAGATATTGTTATCAAACTTGCTATTTAGCAACCTGATGTGGAAACTCGGTTTATATTTCATTTGGACTTCCTGTGGTCAAGGGTCACTATTTACTCAAAATAGAAAAGTTTTCTGACAATAATTTGAGTAAGGAATGAGATATCATACTCAAAATTAGGATTTTTCAATTTTTATATGAAGATCCTGATTAGGATTGCAATTAATTGAAATAATTCTTTGTTCACAGTTGATACTTCATAACTTATAGGTTCAAAATTTTCATCAGACCTCTTATTTTTCAAAAGTCAAAGATGCTGGAGGGACTATAAATCACCCTTAATGATAGCTCTTGTTTTGTTTTGTTAAAATTCTTGAACTTTTTCTTATCTTTGTAGTATCGATTTGTCTTAAAATAAAAATTGTTTGATGTAAATTCACAACTTCAATAAATAATAATAAATGAAGTTGTGTATACATTATTCTAAATCTAATAACTCTAGGAGAAGAATTTTATAACAGACATTGTCTTTCATTCTAATCCTGTTTTTTAGAATATTTGAATTGCTCTCTGTATATTGTTAATTGTAACATTTATATGTTCTGAGAAATAAAATATGTTTAAACTAATAACTCTAGTTATCTTATACAATATATGGTTAATAAGATAACAAATGTACTCGAATATACAGACAAGCTTTTTTGCGTCTTATTATTTACAGACCATATCATTCTAGAGGTAAATTGCTCGTAGTGGTCATGAATGAAACTGTTGCCGGACGAATTTTTGCCAAATTGATGTTAAGGACAGCATTCAAAGACCGGGCGGTCGTTGCTCGATGTCCGGGCGGCGTCTGTACGATTTATAAATGAATCGACGGTCGCCGAGTGGGCGCCGTGTGGTAAAGGCTTGGCATTTTATGATATTTGATGATTTTGCTTTAAAATTCAGTAAGTGGTCAGTATGTCAGCAAAGAAGTCAGTCGATAGAGACGATATGAAGACCAAGCAAAAAAGCAACAATTGTAGTTTGGCTTGTCTTTAATAATAATCCGCTTAGACGTTCTTGCTCGGTCACAGAGTTCATTTTAAATCCAAAAGAATTCAGATAAATTTTAGGCAACTACAAACAATCTCTAGACGTAATTACAAAAAAACAAGTGGCGCGATCGCCGTACGACAAAACGATTACCGCCCGTTGTCTGTGCGTGAATCGAATCGTCCGGGTACCGACTTGTGTCTATTCTGGCGCCGGGCGATGTCCTGGCGGGACCCGGGCTATGTACGCCCGGTGCCTTTATAATGAACGCTGTTTTTGTATAAAAGAAAAACAATCGTCCGATAAAAAAAACAACATCGTTTGGGCGCCGCCAAGCGACCGGGCGATCCCTGCCAGAGTAGTTTTTCAACTCAATGACCCAAAAAATTATCGTCTGCCGCCCGATTTAACGATTTTTACAAAATCGGCAGTTTTGACGATAGCGCGAACGCCGGGCGATTTTAAATTTGATACCTTGTGTGGTCATGAATAAAACTGTCGCCGAACAATTTTTTGTCCAATTGGTGATAGAGACAGCGTTTAAAAGACCGGCCGGTCGCCGTTCGATGTCCGGACAGCGTCTGTGCGATTTATAAATGGATCGGACGGTCGCCGTGTGGGTGCCGGGCTGTTAAGACTTGGCATTTTATGATATTTTTTTTTAAATCAGTCATTTGTCAATATGCCAGCAAAGAAGGCAGTTAATAGAGATATGATGAAGATTAAGCAAAAAATGCAACAACTGTAGTTTGCCTTTACCTCAATACTAATCCGCGTAGACGTTCTTGCTCGACCATATAGTTCATGTTAAATCCAAAAGAATTCACAGATATATTTCTAGGCAACTACAAAAAATCTGAAGCCGTACTTTCAACAAACTCAAGCGCGATCGCCGTACGACAAAACGATTACCGCCCGTTGTCTGTGCGTGAATCGAATCGTCCGGGTACCGACTAGTGTCTATTCTGGCGCCGGGCGATGTCTTGGCGGGACCCGGGCTATGTACGCCCGGTGCCTTTATAATGAACGCTGTTTTTGTATAAAAGAAAAACAATCGTCCGATAAAAAAAAACAACATCGTTTGGGCGCCACCCAGCGACCTGGCGATCCCTGCCAGAGTAGTTTTTCAACTCAATGACCCAAAAAATTATCGTCTGCCGCCCGATTTAACGATTTTTATAAAATCGGCAGTTTTGTCGATAGCGTGAACGCCGGGCGATTTTAAATTTGATACCTTGCGTGGTCATGAATAAAACTGTCGCCGAACAATTTTTTGTCCAATTGGTGATAGAGACAGCGTTTAAAAGACCGGCCGGTCGCCGTCCGATGTCAGGACAGCGTCTGTGCGATTTATAAATGGATCGGACGGTCGCCGTGTGGGTGCCGGGCTGTAAAGACTTGGCATTTTATGATATTCTTTTAAAAATCAGTCAGTGGTCAATATGCCAGCAAAGGAGGCAGTTGATAGAGACAAGATGAAGACCAAGCAAAAAATGCAACAATTGTAGTTTGCCTTCACCTTGATACTAATCGCGTAGACGTTCTTGCTCGACCATAAAGTTCATGTTTAATCCAAAAGAATTCACTGATACATTTTTAGGCAACTACAAAAAATCTGAAGCCGTACTTTCAACAATCTGAAGCGCGATCTTCGTACAACAAAATGATGACCGCCCGGTGCCTGTGCATGAATCGTTCGCGAACTGGCCGATACTCGTTCGCCAACTGGTGTTTATTCAGGCGCCGGTCGATGTCCGGGCGGGGGCCGGGCGATGTCCGTCCGGGGCCTTTAAAATCGGACGGTGTTTTTGTATCAAAACAATCGTCCGATCCAAAAAAAACATCTGGCGATCACTGCCAGACGAATTTTTCAACTCACTGACCCAAAAAATTATCGTCCAGCCGCCGTTAGCTTTTAAGTAGTACTTAAAACACGACTGCGCCTGCCCGATGACCAAAATTTTCAGCTGTTGCCGTCCGATTGTCACGGTGGCCGGACGGACATCGGCCGATATAACGTGTTTTTGGACGCCCGGCGGCAGTTTGTCATTTGTGACTTAGGCATATGGCATGATTATAAAATAAAATCACTGTTAACGTTCTATTTGGCAGTCTGGTTTCTGCATTTGGAAATTTCCTAGGGTCATGTTCTGTCTTGAATACAGTAATTTTTATTTTCTTAGGTTAATAATTCATTCTTAAA